TAGCATTGTTTGAAAGATTGTTACGTGTAGCATTGTTTGAAAGATTGTTACGTGTAGCATTGTTTGAAAGATTGTTATATGTAAAATATATAAAGTCGTGTAATAATACGTAAATTAACATTTGAGAATTTCTCGATGTCAAGTGTGTTCATGTTAAATGTTTTACTGATATAGCGTGCGAAGCTTATCTTACTTTACATGAAACATCTGGGATTATTATTTGTTTAGATTGTGTAATAAACAATTTCTAGACCTAGACAGATGTAAACTTAAGTTTTGAAATTTATACAGTGTGAAAAAAATGTGCAGTTTTTTTTTCTCCTCTTCCTTTAAACACTTAAATTTGATTTAAGAGCATTTGTTACTTGTCATTATTATCTTTAGAACTTAAATAAGCCCATTATTCAAGTTTAATTTATTTTAATATTTAACTAGTTAATAACAGTAATGAATCGAATCTGATGTTTTTTTAATATTCTTTTATTTAAAAAATGAACACGTTTCCATGAAAAATGTAATAACTGTTGTTAGTTTAACAGCTGAAAATAACATAGAAAGAAATACTTTTCATTTATTTGTTTATGTTCTGTATTAAAAATACAATATGTCAACTATAAAAAGTAAGAACCTATTTTTCTTGTAAAATTTATTAATACACTACTGGTTTGTGTAATATTAAAGGTGTATTTTATTGTTGGATGTACAGGTCTGCCTCTCTTTCACAATTTTCTACTGTTTTATAGGAAAATGCTGAATTAGTTCTGTCTGTTGACTATGAAACAGTCACTACCTTTGACAGTCCATATGTAGAAGCAATCAAATCATTATGGGTAGACCCAGGTATCCAGGAATGTTATGACAGACGTAGGGAGTACCAGCTCACAGATTCAGCTAAATAGTAAGTGTCACTATATATTCACTTTAGAGTCATTGTTTCTCTTGAACTTTTACAACTTTTTTTTTAAATTCTTGATAATTTATGTATTAGAAATGGAGAGCATCATGGTGTCCATA